AGTGGTCCCCAACCCCCGGGCCGCGGACCGGTACCGGTCCGTGGATCAAACGGTACCGGGCCGCCCAAGGAACATTAAATTATTTCCATTTTATTTACTATGGTGTATTTCCTCGGGTTTGTGCGACTTTTAATGGACGACGGAACAACAGAATAAACTGGACGTAAGAAACACACTTCGGGTGTCATTGTCTCCTATTACCCCTAGAGGGAACCGTCTCCTTGCAATGAAACAAGCTCAGGGTTCTCATTGATTTAGCGTTCTAGTGAATTAAAATGTTAAATCACATTATATTCATTTTTTGGTGTAACTGTATTTTATTTTGAAGGCATGTTTAAATACAATTAAATTAAAATTATTAAATTAAGTCAATCTAAAATATAAACGATCAACGTCCCCCCTCAGTGGGCCGTGGTAAAATTATCAAACTTTGACCGGTCCGCGGCGATAAAAAGGTTGGGGACCGCTGAGCTAAATCACCTTTAAAGTTAATTAACAATATCTTTTTTATAAAATGGTATTATCAAAATTTGCAGTTCTTTTAATTTCATTAAACAATTCTAACATTATTAAAAATTCATCAAATAAATATTTATAACATTCTGCTGTAATGTGATCTATACTAAGTGATTTAATTGAAGTAAAAGATACATTACATTCTGATTTTACTTTATATATTACATCATTAGTAGATGCAACACTTAAGTCCAAAGAATTAAGTGTAAAGTTTTGTAAGTTTACATCAGAAAAAACTTTCTAGAATAATATGAGAACCAATCAATATCCTTTATTATAGTGTGTATTTTTCATTGTCTTGATTGTTCTAGTTACAAAACCTGATAAGATTTCTGCTTGATCATGGGTAATCTCTTTATTTGAATCTGATGCTTCACTGTGGCAGCAATTTGCCTTTGACCTTCTGATGCCTTCCAATAGTACTTCTGAAGCAAATAAGGTTTCATATTCTGAGAATAGAATCAACAGATCAGTCAACAGTTCAGGTTTTATATTGGCATCAAATCATTAGTTGAAACATTGTTTATTATTGGTTTATCAGCAAGATAAGAACAATTTTCTCTATAATGTGAGGTAGTGGTATATGCCACAATACCAGATGTCAATCATTGAGAATTGTGAACAATGATATGGCTCTGCATGTAATCAAGTATAGCTTCAGATAGTTAATGCAGATATTATTAGCAAAGACAACGATGTAATGCATGTAAAATGAATGAATGTAAGACATTGGTTTCTTTAGGAAATTGTGACTGAGGACTAGTCATTGCTACAGTATTCCAATATCAAAAACTAAACAGACATGATCAATGAATTATTCAAGGATTTTCAGTGGTGTCCTGACCGTACCAGAAATGTCTTTTAACATCAGAGTCAATATCTTGTGTAATTTAAAACACAGGATGTTGGACATTTCTGAACTGCTGCTCCAGTGTGCATGAGGGATTGAATGTTATGTGCATTGACAATGTTAGAAAAGAATCAACAATATGGAAGAGTTGTAAGAGGATTTCAACAAGGTGAGGTTACCTTACCTTTTGAGTTAGTAGTTTTTCAGCAATAGATGACAAACAACAGTTAATAGGTTCCTGAGGCAGATTGAACAGCAAGTGATGTCAATATATAGGGGATTGACAGCTCATGGACTGAAACTATATGATCTTTTCAGGTGTTAGTGGTTGTCCAGACTCCAGAACTCCTCAATAGCAAGAATTAATGTGTTGAAAGAAGAACTGGTCAGTCTTTGCTGGGATCTGTCTCAGCAATAATGTTAGTTGCATCCTGCTGTCCACAGTCAAAGCAGATGGGAATTCAATTGGTAGTTTGATAGATGTCTGTACATCTTACTTTGGCAGAGCAATTCACCAACAATGATGGTGTCTATTCTTTGTTAGTGAAACATACTGAGGCAGCCATGCAGTTGGTTCCCACCATCAGGAAAAATATAATTTAGTAACTCCTCTCACATTAGCATTATCAGCTCTCTCCTTTATCTCTGTTTGTCATAGCCATGTTTGGAAGCTGACAAAAAATTTTATGATGTTCACTTAACATCGGGAATTTTCAACTGGCAGTAGGATAAAATAAATTCAACTGTAGTTGAAATTACATTTAAGAAATAATAATCCAGGATTCTAAAGTTCATTAAAAACACAAACATAGGCTATTTAAAACGGTGTCTTGACTTGTCCTTTTTCAATCCATGAACCAATCTAAAACAAATCCTGGTGTGAAGAAGGACAGGTGAAGACACCATTTTGGATAATCTACATTTATGTTTTTAATATAGTAGAAATATTGATGGTGGGATATTAAAAAAATCTTTGATTGTTTCCTTTATCAGATGTTCCAACTTCTCATTGTGGGGTATATTTGAGTTAACTATTTGATATTGGACAAAGATTTGCTATCCTTGTACTATTCTACCTAAGATTTACTATCCTTGGTTGTCTCTTGAGCTCAGGTCTCCAAATAATGTATTGTCATATATGCTCTCTTGACAGGCCTTGAAATCATAAAAATATTGGAATGTTATACAGTTGCTGATTTGGCTTTAGTAAATCAATGTAAAACTGTTCCTTCTAGAAAGAATTAGACATTATCTCACTCTTTATCTTGAAACTTTACTTGTTGTATCTGTACATATTGGAACATTCTGTTGAGATATTCATTGCTGATTGTAACCCTCTTGTATTCCAATCAGCAATGAATATCTCAACAGAATATTCAACAATTGGCTAAACAACCAACATCTGCAGACTGGTATTCAGATCTATGCTTCATTTGCTTGGAACAGCTTTGGATTTATTAGCCATTTCAATTTGATCTGAGTTGGGTCATTGAGAAGTTGATGAAAGATTGAACTTTAGATTTAATTCTTGTAAATGATGACTTTTGTACAGTATGACCATGATTATTTTTCTTCTGGCACTCCTGTCATATTGTGTGCCTCTTCCAAAATATCACAGGATAAAGGATGGTTTTTCAAAAACATAACAGATTTTAATAAAATGATTAGAAATAACAAATAATCAAGTAGATTTCAATAACTTTATCTAAAATTTAGAAACCAGAAAGAATCAAACAACAACAAAATGCATTCTAGAACTCAATTGTCAAAATGTATTTTTACATTGAATGTGTTTTAGTGTTTTGCATAATGAAAAGAAGAGAACAAAATTTATTGTCTTCATCCTAAATTTTAAATTTAAAAATTAATTTAATATATTTAATTGCCAGGACATTAATACAATATAATAATAATAATCACAAATTAGAAGTAACAATAAATGTCTTCATATTTTGTCCTTTTTCAACATCTCAGGAACAAAACAGCTTTCATGATGGAGTCAACTTTTTGTTTCAGGCTATATATCTGCCTTGATATCTGGAAATGTTAAAAGAGTTCCAGCACAATCATAAAAATCTATTATGAGGTGTTGAAAAAGGAGAAAGATATGAAGATCTTTATTGTTATTCCTAAGTTGTGAATAAAAAGTTATTTATTTATTTCTAATCATGGCTTTCAAAACTAATTGTTTTATGAGCAATGAAAGTTTATATCAAAATTTTATTATGATTAGTTAATGGCTCAGTTTATAAATTAACTTTTAAATGTAGTTAACTTTAAAATTTTAACTTTTAAATTACAATAACTTGTCATTTTAGAGAGTCAATTATATAAATTTTTAAAAACACTAATACTACTCATCTAACACTACTTTTAAATGATCTTTAATAATTCTACTGATCTTATACTAATCTAATTATTTGTTATATATCTACTAATATAATTATTTGTTATTATTTTTTTATTTAATAATGTTGTATTTTTTAGGAACTGCTAGTTCCAAGACATGAATTTTTGTATGAAGATAAAATGTGGAGACATCCATATAGAATAGAAAGCATGGGCCGACAATTTTCATTTCATGAAGAAGCATCACTTGTATATTACAATCCTGGTATCTTGGTTCATGTAGATGATAACTTTTATCAAAGAAATGCAATAAATTTTGCAAATTACAGACAATATGCATATCCAGGTGCTTATAAAAGATATCCAGATTATTATTACAGTGATGTTAGAGAACGAAGGCGATTTTATCCCAATCCTTATTTACCAAATCACTTAACACCAGATGATTTTGAAGATGATCAACCTCCAAGAAAAAGATTAAAAATAGAAAATGGTTCTAACATCTATAATAATGACTTAAATTATATAACCAACAAACATAAAATTTATGATCACCAAGAACAACAAAGCAATGAACCTGTAATACAAAATCCACAGTTTGCTGAACAAAAATTAGATCCTCTAAAATTGAGTGAACAATTACAAAAACATTTTGGAAAACCATCATCATTTTCTCAGTCTACTGTGAACTCATCTGATGAAACTAATTTAAACCATTCAATTACAGAGAGTCATAATAGTGGATTGTTGGTAGAACAAATGAAAGAAATTTATGACACACTCATTGCAAAGGATGATCCAAAAAATTCAGGTAAATTTTTGTGTGTACAGTTAATATACAAAAGAATTTACTAATTGCAATCACTTTGGGACTCACCTCTACTGATAACAGAGATCAGTTGATAACATTAAGGTAAATAAATAAGGTTACAATTAGTATAAGTTTTGATTTTATTGACTCTGACATTAAAAGGACATATTCAAGTTATACATTTTTGAGAATCTCAGCACAATGTGACTAGAGGGTTTGGTGAAAAAGACACACAATTTGAAAAAAGTCTCTTAATGATCAGACTGACATGATGTTCATGACATCAAAAGGGATCTTGTAACAAAATAAAGGTTTCTTTAACTTGCTAAGAATCTCATTACTTCATTTGTGACCTCAGACAAAGCTTACGTGTTAACTGAATTAAGAAATGCCAACATGAAAACTAGTAGAAATGCAATCCACTCAAAATTTAAATACAAACAAATGAAATTTATTGACAATTTCAATTTAAAAGTTTCTTAGTGTTGGGTCATTAAATTATTAACATATTTATACAATTATTTCAAAATTCCTTTACTTAAAAACTTTAACAACTACTAATTGCTTTCATCCATTCCTATAGCAAATAAATTACTACATATATTGGTTCTTTAATGAATATAAATTATTTACATTAGTAATAAATATTATTACTATGCTTAATAATGTTTATTATTAAGTAAATTAAGAGAAAATATGGTAAAATATTGTACAAAACTTAATAGACTAATTACACACTTATTAGTGGAGTAGGCATTTTTAGGCACTATTACTTTTTGATATATAAAAAATCATCATCCTGTGATCTATGTTTTGATACAAAAAACACTAAAATTGAACTAAATGAACAAAATAGGCATTTAGGGCAATGTTGTGGTGTTACTAAAACTTTTAGTCCTTTGAGCAACATATGGTAAAGGGTCCTCCAATGCTTAAGGCCTAGCCCTCCATATTCATGTTGGTATAGGAATAAACAAAATTTAAATTATTAGAAAATATCAGTAGCTATATTAAAAATTTCTTTTGTTGTAAATTAATATCAAACAAAATAAGAAAAAAGAAACATAACAAAAGTAATCTAAAAAAGTTTTTTTTAAACAAAATAAAAATTACAAATATACACACTAATCGAAACCTGACATTAAGCAAATATACTCTCACAACTGCCATAAATGATTGGACTAAATTTGGATATAATGATTATAAATTAGAAATGAATTTGGCACTAGAGTGAGGTGTTAGGCACCATCTTGTATTGAAATTAATAATTACAATATTTAATTAATAAATTTGGGTCAAAGAAAAGAATCAGCCTGCTTTGGGCCAATTCTTTTCTTCCAGTTTAATCTAAATTTATTAATTAAATATTGTAATTATTAATTTCAATATAAGATGGTGCCTAACACCTCACTCTAGTGCCAAATTCATTTCTAATTTATAATCATTATATCCAAATTTAGCCCGATCATTTATGGCAGTTGTGGGAGTATATTTAAAATAAAATTAATATTTAAATATATTTCATATAAATGATGCCATTGGATAATATATACTTTTTCATCACATTACTGGCTACAACCAGACCTTGTTGTTTTTTAAAAATAAAAATACAGCATTTCCAAGAAAATAATAAAATAATTCCAAAAACAAAACCATATTCATAAATTTTATTATTATTATTATGTTGGGTTTTGTGAGTTATACTCGGTTCACACCGGTGGCTGTGTACTATGCCGGACCAAAGTCAAGGCATAGCAACCAAAACAAAACTAAAATATCACTTATGGTAGCTGCTATTTCGTTGTGTATGTCTCTCTTTAATCCGATCAATTCAGTTCGGTAGACTATCAATACAGCTTTCAGGTTAGATACTACTTTTATTGTTTTGACATATGCATTTCGGACTTATATGTATTTTAAGTCCCTCTTCAGTTCAAAACTACAAATTATTTAAAAATAATACAATTAGTAAGATGACAAATTCTTCGCGTGTAGATCATATTTACTGACATAAAACTATTGTTTTTAAAAATTGTTACACTTATACGTTACCTAAGGTTCTGTCTTTTAAAACCACGGTGTATAACGGGTAACGTTGGAAAGAGTTTAAAATACCGCCATTTAAAAACACTTCAAATACATTTTCACATTAATACGGTAAACCTAATATATCAATACATTTATAATTTTTACTTTATAACACCATATATTTTAACAGAAACAATATAACATGATACTCACTTTTAACCTGTGTTCATAAAATCTTGTATAATTACAACTTTTAAAAATTGTGTATGTTCTACAATATAATGTCGCAGCAATTATGATCTTTTTACAGATTAATAATATGTAGTATAATAATACCATATTAATGTGAAAATGTATTTGAAGTGTTTTTAAATGGCTGTATTTTAAACTCTTTCCAACGTTACCCGTTATACACCGTGGTTTTTAAAA